GTAGCCACGGATCCACCCTTGGAAGTTCTTGGGTCTRTGCTGGCAGCCTAGAGTTCTCTCCCGAGCTCCCGTGTTCTGCCCATGTTTGGAGCTGGGAGGGCACAGGCTTTTCACTACCCCCAACAGTGTGAGTCCTGTGTGTGCTCCCACAGCTTCCTCTAGCAGTCCTGCCTGCAGGGATTTCAGCTGGGCCACCTCCATGTCCTGTCCAGGAGCCTGGCCCCTCTGTTTGGAAGACTTCCTGTTCAGTACTGCAGGTCAAAGGTCCTGACTGTTCTTCCTTCTCTGTCTCACCATCACCTCATCTCTGACGGATATGACTCTCCTGTCTCTGGTCTCAAAGCTTCCCCTCTAAACAGCTTCACACTGTGGCCAGAAAATAATGCTAACGCGTTTGACCACGTCCCAGTCCTGATCCAAGCTTAGTGGCACTTCATTTATGAAAGCAAGGTTTCAAAACTTCTTGGCAGAGGACACCACCCCCGCCCCTGGCAATATAAAGCACTAAAAAAGATGACATAGCCATGAGAAGACACAGAGGAGACTTAAAACATAGACATGTGAAAAAGCCACTTGCATATGCTTTAAATTTTAGAGGCTGCAGGCTGTATGAGTCCAACTACACAGGAAGGAGAACTGTGGAGGTGGGAGAAGATCGCTGGTTTCTAGAGCTCAGGGGCGGGAAGGATGGGTAGGCAGAGCATGTGGAGGCAGCAGGACCCATGATACCATCCTGGCAGGTACCTGCTGTGACCCACTTGTCCCAGCCCCATAATGCACAGCGGGAGAGAACCCCAGTGCAAACCGTGGGCTTTGGGTGATGTGTCAATGTGGATCCTCGATTGTCACCAACGCCCCACATTGGTTTGCTCTGGTGGGGATGCTGTGCTTGTGTGGGGGATGGGCATTATGGAAACTGCACTTTTTGCTCAGTTTTGCTGTTTCCTTAAAACACTCTTTAAAAAGTTTGTTAAAAATTTACAATATGAAGAAAAAGTGGAGCTACGTTGACTGAAGCTGTGGAAGGGAATGAAGAGGGTAGAGAAGGTGGAGCCCTGCCCCGCTTCCTGCTCGCTCTTCCCAAGAGTTTGGGACCCCAGGACTCAGGGGAATGGAGCCCCAGGAGCCGAGCTAAGTGCATCAGCAAGGCCACCAGGGCCCTGGGGTCCAGCCTTGCTTCCCCTCCAGCCTCCCTTCCCACCTCCCAGCACCTGCCCTCACGTGTCCAGTACACACCACTGGTTTCCAAGTCCCCTCCACAGGTCTCCCTCTAGGCATGGCATATGGCGCTACCAGTCTGGGGGCTTTTCCCTCCCTTTGCACTCCTTCAAGTCTAGGTCCAGGGCGCCTCCCCCATGGAGCCACCCCAAGTCCCCCAGGAGCTGTCCCTATGCTCGGTTTACTCTTGCTCTCCACTGTGGCATCTGCCAAACACACTGCCCATTGGTTTTGCCTGCTGATCATCCCCACTGCACTGTGAATGAGTCAAGGGCAGGGTTCCTGCCATCTTCCTCTCAAGATCCTCTGTAAACCAGCACAGTGCCAGGCCTCACAAATGTTTGCTTAAGAAGGAATTAACAGCTGGGTGTGGTGGTGCATGCCTGTAATCCCAGAGACTTGGAGGCTGAGGCAGGAAGACGGCAAGTTGAAGGCCAACCTCAGCAACTTAGTGAGACTAACCCTGACTACCCCACCCCCGAAAAAAAAAAGGAAAAGAAAGAATAAGAAAGAAAGCTGGGAAGGGCACAGAGTTCCTAGTTTCTCCTCTGGTGTGGAAGGATGCCAGAATTGTCACCTTTAACCCTGACCTTTGAAGTTTTTGTACAGATGTCTCTGGTCTTTCAATTGCCTGGAGGTCTTGCTGTTGTGGCTGTGGTGCTGGAGATCAAGCCCAGGGCTTCGCTATGCCAGCAGGTCTGCGCTGTGCTGGTCTCCAGCCCTGCCAGGTGGTTCCACCACTTCATTTCAGCTCCAGCTGAACTGGGGACATGACTGAACTGATACCCGGGCCTCTGCAGTGAACAGGCTCCACCTGGACTGGACAGCTGGAGTCTGCGGAGCCTGACATGATCTAAGGCTGAGTATTGTGTCTTTGGCTTACAGAGGCGGCTCAGGAACGTTCCCAAAGAGCGCTCGGTCAGCCTCCGGCTCTGCTGCCCTGTCCTGTTCAGCAGTGTCAGAGTGTGGCGGGCAGGCTTGGGACACCTGAAGCTCCCGCCAGGATCAGGGCACGCTGCTGCCCAGGGCCCACCACATACCCCAGCTCACCCCTTGCATTGAACAAAAATGACACACTGTGTCAGGCTCCTGGGACTCGCTGACACAAGGCACTTGGGGACCCCTGAACTTGTCAGTGGTAGGTGCTCTGGGTTGAGTTTTCCATGTAGTATTGACTGAACTATTTTTCATCACGGTTACCAACTCTTAAGACAATTGCTCAATGAACTTTGTTGATTTCTTAATTTATATTTGAATTTCTTAATAATTTCTATTTTCCTCCTTCACTATATTTTAAATTTATATTTATAGGTAGTTTCTTTCAATAATGAGTACAGAGTAATTATTTACCATAAAGCCTGTTCTTTAAAAATGTAGGGAAAAATTGTTCCTGATAAGGAATCTCTGGGGTCTTTCCAATTCTACTAAACACTAACAGGGTCAGAGCCATAAACTAAGCAAATGTCAAATTACCTTAGACTTGGGGAGAGCAAAGGCCATGGTCACCTCCCAGGTCCTACCAGCAGGAAGAAGCTGTCCGCATCCCTCACACCAGCCCTGACCCATCCTCAGGACCCCACGCGGCATCCCTACACACACCCCTCCCTGGAGTTGAGTCTTCTCTTTGCCTCTCCAGCCCTTTTGGCCACACTGACTGTCCAGTGACCCTTGTTGGTGCCTGCTTCCCACCTCTGCACCCCAGCCACCCCTTAAATGTCCTCAGCACCACAGCGGAACCCTGGGCCACCTCCCTTTTCCAATTGCCCCTCTCCAGTGTGCTCACTCCAGGAACCCTTGGCCCCTACAGGATGCCTCAGTCCTAGCCACTTGCCACTGCCCCACTGCGTCTTTGTCTTGCTCCTGGCTCATTTTCCTGGCTGTCATCCTCATTCCCCTCCCAAGTGCCATCCAAGGTCCACCATTGCAATAAGCCCTTCCAACGCCCCCAGCTTCTTTCCTTCCTCCTTCCTACCTTATAAAACCCCACCTGGACCTGCGCAGCTGCACTTGGCAGAGAAACCCCACAACCCCGATATGTTCTCACTGCACCTCCCTTAACCTTAAGCAGGACTTCCAGGTCATCTAGCCGCCATGATGCATGCCCGGGTGACTCGCCCCTCTGCTCTCTCCTCTCCTCTCCCTTCCAACTTCCAGGGCTCTTTCCCCCTCACTAACTCTGACAACCTTGCTTCTGATGACCACTGGGAACATGGTGGCCAGAAGAGACAGCCTCAGTGAGACGCCTCCATGCCATCAGCACCCTCAGGCCCCAGCTGGCCTCAGAATCTGTGCTCTCTGCCTTCTTTGCCCATTCTAGCTGTGCTCGGTCCCTACTCCTCCTAAAAGCAGTCTTTTCAGTCTTTACCATAAAGCCTGTTCTTAAAAAAATGTAGGGAAAAATATGTGCTTTTCAGTCTGCTTTTAGGAGGAGTGGCCTCCATGATGTGAACCTGACAGTCCATTCTCAGCCCCCGTCTTGCTAGATTTAGGAGCAGCACTTTGCAGTCCTGGGCCCTCCATCTTCCTGGGGCTCCAGGACTTCCTTCTCTCCTGATTCTCCCCACACTAGTTTCAGTTTACTTTGCCAGCTCATCCTCGTTTCCTAAGTTGTTCAGAGTTGGAAATCTGGGGCCTCAGATCACCTGCCTCACTTATCTAAGCTAAGCTCCCTCTTAGAGTTCTTGTCTCAGCGTATCACGACTTAGAGAGCATCCACACATTAATGACTCCAAATTTTCATGTTGTCCCAGATTCCTTCTAAATTCTAGATTCATATATCCATTTACTTATTTGACAACTTTTCATGGCTAATAGGCATCTCAAATTTAATATGTCCACAGTGGATCTGGTCTCTCTCCTTCCTAGCCCCTCCTTTTTTTCCGCATCTCATCTGCTAGGTTTTAATAGTTCAGTTCAGTCTTGGAYGAGGCTCCACCCTTCCTGGTGCTCAGGCAGAACATCTCAGAGCCTCCTTTGATTCTCTCCCCTTCCACATAGACCCCAGCAGAACACCTCCCAGTCCCCACAGAGGTCACCGTGAGCTGGCCACTTCTCACATATCCCCAGAGGCTGCCCTAGCCCAGGCTTTCTTGGGCTGCAGGTACAGTCCCTGTGCTGTTGGGTGTCTGATGCCCAGGCCAACTCTGCCAAGGTCTGGGGGGATCCAGGTGCCTCAGGTCCCCCCATGTACTCAGACTTCCCCATGTCAGTCACCCTATGCTCTCACAGCTGCCATCTCCAATGGGGCCTCTTCTTTCAATATTTTCATTTTCTGTGAGGAATAAGATTTTATTTTGTTTTATTTTATTTTTTTTGCAGTGGTGTGGATGGAATCCAGGTCCTGGCACATGGTAGGCAAGAGTTCTCACTGAGCTATGCCCTCAGCTCTAGGAATAAAATATTTTATTGATTAATATATGTGAAAGGGCACATATGTATGTACTCACCTTGCCCCCGGTATTTATAAAAGTATATAAAATATGTGATGATATAGGAAAACAAGTGAGCAAGTTGGGCAAAGGAAAAATATCATAGATAGAAAAAATTCAGGGGAGCTGAGGGGCTGCTGGGGAGCATAGAGGTGCACCCAGGGGTCCTTCGTTCCACTGGGAGGGGGGGTCTGCAGAGGACAGGGTCCTGCTGGGCAGGGGAAACCTCAAGGGGAGGGGGGCAGTGCTGGCCAGGAAGCCTCCCTGTGCCTGGACCCACTGAGCCATGATCACCCTGACCACTCCCCAGCCTCCCACCTTCCAGCCACCCATCGAGACTCCCCGGGTACTTACCAAGACCCAAGCAAGAAACTCTGAGTCCTGATTTTCCAAGATTCCTAGAATGAAAAGAAAAAGCAGCACATGGTCATTGCTCCTCAGGTGGAACTGTGCAGCCCATCCATGAACGTGGCATGCTCCTTGTCCAGGCAGGGGAGAGGCAGAGCCCTGTGGCCTGGGGAAGCAGCTGCCTTTCCAACTGGCAAACTTGAGATCTGCCAGGCTCAGCACAAGGACCAAGCATCCCCCATGTTTCAGTCCCAAATGGTCTCTTTTCCAAMTTGTTCTCTGCCCTTCTAGAATATGAGTTCTTCCAGGGCAAGGCACTTTCCCACCAACCTCCCAGCACCCTCATGGAGTCTGACACACAGCTGGCCCTTCCTAGATGACCGTGGCCCACAACTGACAAAGTGACCTTCAAATCCAGAGAAGAGCCCACAGCACTCTGGGGTCACCCAGCCCGGATTCTACTTCTTAAACACCAGGTGACATAAAGTGACCACAGGGAGGTCAACAGTGCCTTTCAAAACGAGTCTCCTTTTCCTCCTCAACAATTTTGCTTTCATCCCCAAAAGCTTATCAAGGAAAAGAAGCACATTTTTCTTTCTACTGGCACCCATTTGCCTTTCCACCCGAGGAATCCAGATTCCGCCAATTGTTCTGTCTTTTGACCGACACGTGGCAGAAGACGACAAATTGGGAGGGAGGAGATGGTTCCCAGGAGCAGCCTGGGGTCCAGTCGAAGAGGCACAGCTCAACAGTTGTGACCTGGGGACAGTGCCTCCCTGTTCTGGGGCCAGACACACTTTTCCACTTGCTGTCCCCTCGGCAAAGCCCACGGGCCTTCCAGCCAGCGGTGCCGCTGCAGGTTGGCAGCCTGAGAGTGTATGATCAGTACACTCGCCTGCACTAAGCTTTTTTCTCCTGCTTACAGTGGCTGTCCTTAAACTGCCACTGAAGCCACACATGTGATTTCATAGTGCAGTCAAAAGTGCATTGTGATGCAAAGGATTGGAGGACCTGGGGTTTTGACCCATGGTCACAGGGGGCCAGTGGCCTTGGGAAGCAGCTGTCCTTTTCCTAGGGTTCAGTTTCTTCAACAGTAAGACGGGGTAGCAATGCCTGGCATGGCATCCCCACTGAGGGGCAGGATGTGTCGCTGTGTGCTGGCATGTGACGTAGTAAACAAACAGGAGGAGGAGTGCTTCTTGGTGGCATCYGACTCTGAGACCCCCCCAACAGATGTGTTGCTAAATTCCCCAAATTCATGGATGTTTCCCATTGCAAGATAACTGTCGTGTAAGAAATGTGTGAGGAATGTCTAAGCTACTAAGCAGGAGGGAAAGAATTGGACTCTGTGAAAATGCTTTTCATAAGACATTGCGCTTTCAGCAGATTCTCAGAAATCCACAGGTTGTGCAACCAGAAGACTTTTCTTTGTAGTCTAAACATCTACTGATGTTAAGATAGGAATCTAGAGAAAAAGCTCTATAGTGGGGAGAATAAAAATCAAAACCAAAACAAAGTACAGTATCAGTGAATGGCAGTCTTGAACTAGAGATGTTCAGCATGGAGGAGTCTCTAAGTCTCCCTGAGAGGCCAGAGTGTCCCAGCATGCCAGGTGCTGTGATTGATAGASAGGAGCAAGGTGCAGTCCTTCCCCCCGGGAAACCTCAAGTCCAACAAAGGACAGCCTTGGGGTGTGTCCCACGGGGAGATCTTTGGGAGCACATAGACGTGGGGAGCTGCACAGGTTTGTATTTGCACGACTTCATGCTTGTCATGGGGAAAAGGGACCTATTAAGGGTTTTCACGCAATTCTAGTATCTTTCAGTGATTCTGAGAACAACAGGGAGGAGCAACTGGGTGCAGAACCCCACAGAGGGAGACAGTCCGGAGGTGAAGGCTTTAGACTCAAGAGGTTTTTCTAACAAACTAAACAAAGCAAGCTTGTGTCAGAGGGTACTTAGGAGGAACAGCTCAGCACCTATTTGCCCTATTTTTCCGTGACAGTGACTTCATGATCACTCCGCTGTGGGTTTGGAAGACTGGACTTGAGAATTCAGCAAAAATGACTGCAAAGCCGTGAGAACTAGATAAACGTGGCCTTCCCCCCAGCCCCCACTGCTGTTTAAACATGCAGGTCAGCTTTTCTGGAACAAAAGCCTGAGAAAAATCTGAAGTGTAAGGCAAGTTCAATTACAAATAAATACTGATGCCATGGTGCTAGGTCCCCACCTTGAGCCTTAGTGTTCTTATTCCTTTAACTCTTTATTCCCTATTTCTCTTCTCTAAACGTCTTCCTCCTCTAGACAGAATGGTTACGAACCATGTGTTCATTTATAAAGTGCAGGCATTTTCCATGCTAGAGGTGTTGGGGTCATTTGGCTCATCGCCCTTCTCCGTCCTGGCTTAAGTCTTTGCATGACTTGGGTGACATCAGCACTCTTGACTCATGGTGCCCTTCACTCTGCAGATGGAGAGGGAGGAGGAACTTCCTCCAGTTCTGGGCATGAGATCCTGCCTCTGTTTCTATTATTCAGATGACACACCTGTGTCTTCCTGCCTCCGTCAGCATCTGTGCAATACTAAGGAGAGAGGTGGCKACTGTCCAGCCGCTCCCCTTCACTGAAACCCTGCTGGATGACAGTAGCCCAGATGCCTCCCGCATGTGACCTAATGAGTCCAAGGTGTGCCATTTGGTAACTTGTTTGTGTGGCTGAAACTTCAAATAATGACCAAGTTTACAATCTAGCTGGGCTGTCACCCCTCCCCTTAAGCCTCCGTCTCACCTACATAKAATCATCTTGTGTGACATTCTGCAACCAAACTTCACATAATTTCATTTTATTTCATAGTTCCTCCACRCTTTCTCATGAGTGAGGCTACCTAAAAACCCTAGGAGCACATCAGATTTCCAATGTGATCAAATTCCTTTCCCATTGGATTCAAAACAGTCTCTCTGCACAGGTCCACCTATTTTATCTGCATCAGATGTACCAGGAGCGAGTCTCACTGTGCTCATTTTTAGTATCTGCTCTGTTCAACTCAAAAATAAAAGCTCCTCTTTCCCAGGTGAACCTGAAATGCTCCATGGCTAATATTAGAAATGAATGACATCAATACGGGGGCACGGGGCCCTGGCTTTGTCAGTCAAATTTTGGAAATTCTAACCCTTAAAGGTTCAGGAGAGGTATCTGGGCTTCTGGACGACGGGAGGTGGTGTCTCTCTTCTTCTGGGAGGCAGGCCCTGTGCTCTGTGCAGACGTAGCTGAGCTGCCTTTGTGGTAATGCCTAGTTCCCTGGCAGAGGCCTTAAATGTAATTCCTAGTGTCACTTTACAGAGCACCCATCAGCCTCTCTGCTTTTAAGGTGATAATGGCCTAGTGAGAACTGGAGTCAAGCGTCACCTCGGCGCAGTATCAATGCCAGTCTCAAGCTCACAGCTCTTTCACAAATCAAGGATGCTAAAAGCAGAAGATTAGCAGCCCAAAGGTGTTGTTTTAAATTGCTTGCTTTTGGATGTGTGCCTCTGAGACATGATTCCCAATTTTAAACTGCTGGGAAGAGAGGGGCAGCTAGATAAAACATGTGTTTTGTGTTTACCAAGAAGCAGCTTGGTGCCCAGGACAAAATCCCCGATTCCAAGATGGAGGTAGCAGGAGTGGATGGGAGCCACATGTGAGCACCCCCGTGGCTGCATGGCTTGKCCACCTGGTTTCATGTGGTCAGATCATCACATCACTCCCCCTTGGATTCTTATGGAAGCATCTCGCTGATTTCTCTACACCACCCTCCATTGTGTGTCATGCYTAACTCAAAACTGGGATTTGGTGTTTGGATTTGTTTTTAAATAAATGAACATTTAACTTTCTTGAAAAGTCCAGAACCAAAAGCATGTTCATTTSTCGGTCAGCTGGTTTTGATGGTTGMATGGGGAAATACATTTCAGCACCAGGAAGGTGACTTGAATGGCAACAGCATTTAACTTAATGGGATAACAGCTGCTCATCACCACTGGTAAATGAGTAATGACCCATTTGGAGGCCACAAGCCACATAAAGGATTTGGCTGTGTGTTTTGATGGCAGACATCAAGTTGTCCAGGAAACTTTTTCTATTCTTATCTTTCAGTAGCAACAAAGTGGGATTCTTCAGACTCTTTGATTTAAAGATTTAAGGTATTGCACTTATAAATTCTAACTAGGTCTCACTTGTTTTCTTGGGATATCCAAAATCACCCATTGACTTGTATCATTCTAGAAGTCTGAAGAAGTATGACAAAAAGACACTCTCCTATAATGAGTTGGTTCAAAAGAGATGTRCCAAATGTCATCAGTGTACTGAGCCTTGTGCCAGGCTTCAGGGACAGACGAGTAGCAGATAGTTGCTGTTTATATCATTGGAGGGGAGGTAGATGTTAAATATGAATTAGTTGTTTGATGATGTTCAATTTAATTTGGCCTGGGGATGCCTCCRTACTTTGAAACTTTGCTAAACAACACACACACTAGCCAGAAGCCTACCTTCAGAGCCTGCTGCTGCAGCAGATGGTTGAGCCCTGGCCAATCTCAGCAGAGGAGCTTCCGTCAACCTCAGGCAGACCACATTCACGCAAGGCCCAGGCCAAGCTGTCTGCAGTTTGCTCAGCAAGCTGCCTCTGTGCCTCATTTTCGTTTTCCATCCATAGATGCCACCTGCCCGTGGGGGGAAACAGAGCTTTCTGAATCTCCTCTGCTTTTGAAGGCTGACTGAGAATTCTTTGCTCAGTTAAACTCTGTTAAACTTCATGTGCCTAAAGTTTTTAACAATTTTAATAGCAAATAGAAGATGTCAATGTGGCATTGAGATGCTGGTGAAGCTGACCTAGTCGGAGTGTCAGGAAAAGCGACATTTAAACCGAGATGCAAAGGAGAGTGGGGAGTGACCTATTGAAGAAGGGCTAGCGTCCAGGCAGAGGGCAGGGTGTGCAAAGGCTCATGGGAGATGCACAGGCCTGGAAGAACTGGAAGAACTGGAAGAACCTCAGGGAAGTAAAAGAACAGACAGCAAGGGGCAGA